TGAAGACTACGTAAGCATCGGGAGAATAATCACCCATCAATTTGTTCAATGTGGTGCTTTTCCTGTTAGAATTTCTCAAGCATCTATCACACAAGCACTGCTTGGCGATGTGTCCCCAGAGACGCTGATTTCTTCGTTTCTTAAACTCTTGCCTCCTAGAGAGAGAGAAATAATTGAGAAAGGTTTAAGTGATAGCACGGCGTTTTCCCAGGATGAAATAATGGAAATATTAGAAGATTACAACATCAACACGTTGCCGACTACTGCGAATTTAGCTTCCCTTATTACCCAAATAGGAAGAAATGAATTCGCACAGAAGCCTTATCTATGTCTGCTTAGGATTCGCCGAGGTATGGGCCCAATGTGGGACGGTGTGAGTGAGAAGGAAATTGCATCTATATATAATCTTTGTCAACCAACAACACAACGTATCATTGACCAAATATATATGGTACATAAAGATCCCAAAGATGGTCAAATCATGAGATGGCTGCAACGGTATCTCAAAATATGTAGTGATGAAGCACTTGTCAACTTCCTCCGTTTCTGTACTGCGACTGATGTTATGCGACCGGAATGCCGCATTAAAGTATCCACCGAGTTCATGCCTCCAGCAGCCATTCGTCCTAAATCTCGCACTTGTTTTGGTATCATCGTTTTGCCAAGAAATTACACATCTTTTACGCAGCTTAGGAAGAACATGGACTTTTACCTTCGTAATCCAAATTTGTGGGACTTAAGTGATTAAGTGCTTAAGATTATGTAGCTTATCTAATGCTAAAAATACTTAATACTTTATTCCTTTCGTGTGGTGAATCGCTTTATATGCTATGTGACTGATCCCACGAAAAGCGATTCCAGGAACAACATTCAAATTTGGTTGTAAATTGACTTTTGACATTTTGTTTATGAACGCCTATATAGATAGATGTAGACATAAGAATTTAATTAATAGGCATATATGTTGAGTTTATATGTTGAGAAACGCTGTGGCGTAATCATCAGTAGAAGGTTGATATTATTGAGTGCGGGCTAAATAGTGGGGGGTGGCACATGGTTTATCATGTTTATATTCTTTTTTTGTACACTATATTAAAACAATGTTCAACGTTCAGTCCGTTCATAATAAAGACTGTCTTTACAAATAACATATAGTTTTTAAATTACATAATAACGTGTTTTCTTTTGTCAGATAAGAACGAGTTCTAAGTGAAAATTAGTTGTCTACTTCAATGTTATGTTATCTTATATATACAATGATATGGTTAATACATCCATTAGCCAGATCTTTCCCCAATGTTAAACAAGATCGATATCTTGTATATGTCCGATTAGATTGATATATAACTGTTCAACCTTGTTGATATCAGTCCCTGGTGATTCGATGTTGTTCTCACTCATTATTGTTTGAGCAAGTTCGGAAAACGTTTCGAAGGAAGCATATTGGGGAATTTCGCAACATGTATCTTTCGCTACTACTAAATCCAGCGGGTCGACATCTTGTAAATATGACGTGGAATCGAATGCTTCAGGGATAAAGAAGATCGTGTCTGGGCGTCCACTAGGCGATTGCTCATTTGTAGACTGACGAATCATATGCAAATTCCACTGTTGGGCTACGCGGTCCAACTCTTCTTTAAGGAGAGGCATATAACAAAACTTTAAGCATTCTACGTGTACGGGGTTGCTGTCATCATAAATTCCTTGATCTCGTAAATCTTTGAAGTAATTCATCCACCAGTTTGTATCTGTTTTACGAAGGTAAGACCACCAGGCCTCTATTCTTTGATTCGAAACTGAACGCCCGTATAAGAAACTTTTTTCTTGAGAAAATGCATCATTTCCATCGCGCCTGAAGAAACGTTGCATTGCAGCAACCAAACCATTTTCCGTTCCTGCGTCGTCACGGCATATAAGGGGAACACCACCGAGCTGCATAACGCATTCATAGAAATATGAGGCAATAACACGTGGATTGTTGTTTGAATGACCTACCTCAAGCCACAGTATCCGACGACTAAAACCATCTATAGCCCCGTGCACGCAAAACCCGAAAGGCTTAAGTTTATCGTAGCCATCAATGTGCCAAATATAATTTGGCCCCCTGGAAAAATACTGCCTTCTCTTCAATTTGTGACGCGATCTTCGACGAACTCCTTCGGGATCTAGTAGCACGAGACTCTTTCGAACTGTTTCTCTGTCAACTATGATTCCATAATCAAGTCTGAGTCTTAGCTGCATCTGACGATAACCCAATGACCCCCCACTTCTAGATATTTCGTGTTCAATTGCAGCTATTAGGTTCTCTGGATTTTGTATAGCTTCCCTTTTTTTCAAGCCTTTCTTGCGTAAGATTCTCTTCAGCTGTCGAAGACTCAAATGTATACCATGAACAACAACAAGAAATCCAAGAATTTCGTCATACCGAAAACCTAGATTAAAGTACCGAGTAATACAAGAATCACGGTCGTTTTGTAACCCTGCACTTATAGCAGGAATGTATGGTGGTAAAGCATCGCAAAACATCCAAAACAATGAAATGATAAAAATATGGTATAAGGAAGCCATATTGCTGACCAGTTCGACCGAAAGCATGAAACCATACAGTATATGCATTTTGATACAATAAAATTCAAGAATTCTCAAGATGATGTTCCAAGTCGAGATCTCGTGTTATAAGTCGAGATCTCGTGTTATAAGTCGAGATCTCGTGTTATAAGTCGAGATCTCGTGTTTATAAGTCGAGATCTCGTGTTTATAAGTCGAGATCCGGTATTCTAAGTCGATATCTCGTGTTATAAGTCGAGATCTCGTGTTTATAAGTCGAGATCTCGCATTATAAGTCGAGATATCGTGTTATAAGTCGAGATATCGTGTTATAAGTCGAGATCTCGTGTTATAAGTCGAGATCTCGTGTTTATAAGTCGAGATCTGGTATTCTAAGTCGATATCTCGTGTTATAAGTCGAGATCTCGTGTTTATAAGTCGAGATCTCGCATTATAAGTCGAGATATCGTGTTATAAGTCGAGATATCGTGTTATAAGTCGAGATCTCGTGTTATAAGTCGAGATCTCGTGTTTATAAGTCGAGATCTGGTATTCTAAGTCGATATCTCGTGTTATAAGTCGAGATCTCGTGTTTATAAGTCGAGATCTCGCATTATAAGTCGAGATATCGTGTTATAAGTCGAGATATCGTGTTATAAGTCGAGATCTCGTGTTATAAGTCGAGATCTCGTGTTTATAAGTCGAGATCTGGTATTCTAAGTCGATATCTCGTGTTATAAGTCGAGATCTCGTGTTTATAAGTCGAGATCTCGCATTATAAGTCGAGATATCGTGTTATAAGTCGAGATATCGTGTTATAAGTCGAGATCTCGTGTTATAAGTCGAGATCTCGTGTTTATAAGTCGAGATCTGGTATTCTAAGTCGATATCTCGTGTTATAAGTCGAGATCTCGTGTTTATAAGTCGAGATCTCGCATTATAAGTCGAGATATCGTGTTATAAGTCGAGATATCGTGTTATAAGTCGAGATCTCGTGTTATAAGTCGAGATCTCGTGTTTATAAGTCGAGATCTGGTATTCTAAGTCGATATCTCGTGTTATAAGTCGAGATCTCGTGTTTATAAGTCGAGATCTCGCATTATAAGTCGAGATATCGTGTTATAAGTCGAGATATCGTGTTATAAGTCGAGATCTCGTGTTATAAGTCGAGATCTCGTGTTCTAAATCGAGATCTCGTGTTATAAGTCGAGATCTCGTGTTTATAAGTCGAGATCTCGTGTTATAAGTCGAGATCTCGTGTTATAAGTCGAGATCTCGTGTTATAAGTAGAGATCTCGCGTTATAAGTCGAGATCTCGTGTTATAAGTCGAGATCTCGTGTTTATAAGTCAAGATCTCGTGTTATAAGTCGAGATCTCGTGTTTATAAGTCGAGATCTCGTGTTTATAAGTCAAGATCTCGCGTTATAAGTAGAGATCTCGTGTTATAAGTCGAGATCTCGTGTTTATAAGTCGAGATCTCGTGTTATAAGTCGAGATCTCGCGTTATAAGTCGAGATCTCGTGTTTATAAGTCGAGATCTCGCGTTATAAGTCGAGATCTCGTGTTTATAAGTCGAGATCTCGTGTTTATAAGTCGATATCTCGCGTTATAAGTCGAGATCTCGTGTTTATAAGTCGAGATCTCGTGTTTATAAGTCAAGATCTCGCGTTATAAGTAGAGATCTCGTGTTATAAGTCGAGATCTCGTGTTTATAAGTCGAGATATCGTGTTATAAGTCGAGATCTCGTGTTATAAGTCGAGATCTCGCGTTATAAGTCGAGATCTCGTGTTTATAAGTCGAGATCTCGCGTTATAAGTCGAGATCTCGTGTTTATAAGTCGAGATCTCGTGTTTATAAGTCAAGATCTCGCGTTATAAGTAGAGATCTCGTGTTATAAGTCGAGATCTCGTGTTTATAAGTCGAGATATCGTGTTATAAGTCGAGATCTCGTGTTATAAGTCGAGATCTCGCGTTATATACATATACATATACATATACATACTTTATTGTGTTCCCTAAAAAGGGATTTTCAACACTGATTTACAAAAAATAAATGTTGTTCTATTTACAAGTTTTAGAATCTAGAATTTAAATTAAGGTAACAAGGTAAGACATTTGTATAAAGTTTAACAAGGTAAAATTATCTACTTATATATTTGTTCTAGCATGCTTCGCTTCAGTTCGTTTTTGAAAGTTTTTAGGGAGTCTAACTTTTTGAACTTAATGTCCAAATCATTCCAGAGTGTAACGCCTCTATAATGAAAGGACCTTTGACCTGCAGAAGTTTTGTACAATGGTATTTGCAGTGAGTCATGGCTACGTGTATCTCGTTGATGAATGTCAGAACGTTTTGTGAATAAATCGCTCAAATAATGTGGAGCAAGTTCATTGACACATTTGTACATCATAATAGCCTCTCTTAGTAGTAATTGTTCCTTTACTGGGAGCCAGTTAAGTTCACGTAAGCCCGGCGAAATATGGTCGAACTTTCCAATATTTGTTATTATCCTGCATGCAAAATTTTGTACCAACTGTAGTTTCTTAATGTTGGTAGACGAAGTGTTTGACCAAACCGTTGAACAATAGAACATTTTGTTCATTACAAGTGCCGAGACGATGAGAGTTAAAGCTTCTTTATCGAAACATTTTTTGACTCGGTTTATTTGGCACAGGGAATTCATACATGAGGAAACCAGGTTGGTGATGTGCTGGTCATATGTCAAATAAGAGTCGATTGTCATTCCTAGATCTTTGGCAAAGGAGACGGGGGTAATAGTCTCGTTGAGGAAGTTTATGGTCATATCTACGGGAAGTTGTTGTAGGTTTTGCCGTGTGCCAATCAGCATGTATTTGGTCTTTCCCGGGTTAATAAGCAATTCATTTTCGGAACAACTGTTTGCAATCAAATACAAGTCTTCCTCAAGTTGTTGCTTTAAACAGTCCACGTTAGCCACAGTGAAAGATAGTAATATCTTGGAGTCGTCCACGTACGATTCAAGTTTACTATGGTGGACTGATGAGGGCAAATCGTTAGTATAAATACTAAAAAGTAAAGGTGATAAAATTGCACCCTGTGGTACACCATAAGAAACAGGGAGAGGAGTAGACACAGTTGATCCAATTCTGACTGATTGAGTTCTTCCGGTCAAGTAACTCTCAAACCATTTTATCGCGTTATAAGTCGAGATCTCGTGTTTATAAGTCGAGATCTCGTGTTTATAAGTCGAGATCTCGTATTCTAAATCGAGATCTCGCTTTATAAGTCGAGATCTCGTGTTATAAGTCGATATTTTGAAATAAGCTGAAAACTAACTGCATAAACGAGGGTAAGTAAAATGGTAATCAGAAAAAAATTAAAAAGTAATAAAAAAAATTGAGGATGGCCCTAATCAGCCACCGTACAGAACCCCCTCAAGCAGACTTCAACTTTTTTTGTTAAATTGTATATTTTGCTTCATACACTGCATGTGTGTGTGTTTGTGGGAACACTCGTGTTTGGATGCTTGGCATAGGTTAATGGTAATTTCATTGGAGTCATCAGGGATATAGTTCAGACCTCTCAACTCTCACGCATTCGGCGTGAGTCTCACGCAATTCGCTACACTCTCACGCTCTCACGCCACGTTTAGTAAATCTCACGCATATAGCAATTTCATAGTATTTTTTCAATAATATAATACTGTATTCTTAAATGCACATTATTATAATCATTATACGGATAGCGAATCGAATAATTATATATGATCGTGTGTTATTGTTCCTGCATATACGGCCCAACATCTTGCCCGCATATGTAAATACAATAGAACGCATATGTAAATACAGCCGAAAAAAGGCAGAATCAGTCGGAGCAGAATTCAATATGTAACTATCAAAGGCAAATTAAAGCTCATTACTGTATCAGTCGCATATTATAATGCACGAAATGCGATTTCAGACCCCTGGACTTTTACAAAGGTGTCATCCACATCCCCAATCTCACTCTTAACTTATCTGCAAAGTTGAGAGGTCTGATAGTTGTATATTCCTGAAATTACCTCTAAACACCTAAAACAGCATTCCCTAAAATTTTAATTGTTTTCTTACATTGCCCTATATTGCTCAAACTCGCATTGCTTAAATTGCATATTTTGGTGATTTAATCACCTAAAATTGCTTAAACTCGCATTATCTCATTATTGCCCCAGAGTAGGGCCTACTGTTGCCATTGCTTTTTAGTCCCCAATACTTCAGTGAGTCATGCTTTGGAAATGACAATAATTTTTTATTACCCAACCCTTGAGTTGTTTTGTTTTTCATTTACCCAACCTTTTACTTACTCAAAATTTAGTTTACCCAACCCTTTTCTCTTCGGTGCCACCCCCCACCATAAATAATGACCGGTCCCTAATCACTTTTTTAATCACTATTTTGTAGTTAGATAGTGAATAACTCTCAAATACGCGCTTCTTATTGGATGACATTTCCACTAACTATAGTTAACTTTAATCACTTTTTTATACAACCGGCCCACTGAGCTATACTATATTACTATTATTACGTATTACGTTATTATATATTACGTTATTATACAGCTCAGTGAACCGGCCCCATCTGAAGGAAAATGTGTCCCATTGTTTTTCCACTGATCTCTATTCCCAACTGAAGTGACGAGGCAGGTAAATAATATAAAAACGGAAAATTTAGTTTTGAGCGAGTGGAAACACTACCCGAATAGCGCTCAGAAAAATAAAAAAAGTCCAATATTTCTGCTAGCCCGCGTGCAGGCCCAAGGGAACTGATAGTGGGCCTGCAAGCAAGGCCCGGTATTTTGTAAAACGCCCCTTTTCATAACACGCCCCATTCGCGCGTCAATTGTCAAAAAAGAACCAATGACAGCAACCCAAATATTAACAAACAAACTCGCATTAAAATGTTGCGGGGTTTTCTCTGCTTTAATATTCAAAATAGAAACAATGTAAATGCCTGTGTTAAAACTCCAAAAAAAACAAGCAACGCAGTCAGTAATTGCCAAATTTACAAATGCTCATTTTCAACTAAAATCGGAACAGGCAAATTAAGACGAATTTCAACAGAAAACCAGTCTCAAACTTCAAATCGTGAGGGAAGTCGTGCGACCACATTAGCGTTTATAATGTTGCTTCGCTGTCGCCATTGTTATAAATAAATTGTCTCACTTATCAGATCGTGTGTGCAATTCTTGTTGGCGGCGGAAAGTACGAAATTTATTTCAGTTATTTCATTTGGTGAGAACTCTACAAAAGAAGAGAGCGTTCAAGAGTCCAGATTGTTTCGTTTCAAACGGCAATTTAATACCGTCTTATCTTTTGCTCTCTCAGCGAAGCCTTGTAAATCGCAAAGTATTTTGAATAGGCTTACATGCAACTGCATCTCAACATCAACCAAAAGATAATTTTCTTGAGGAACATATAACGTATCAAGTCTGTTTGAAATTAATGAAACTCAAGTAAAGGTTACTATAGTTTTATACCCCATTCGTAATAAATGTTGCTATTCCAACACCTCACGACAAGCAATCCTCATTGGCATAACGGCAAAAACATCTCTTCCTTCAAGTAAACAATAAACAGTCTGTTCTTGTTCCATTTGTAATCGAAAAAAGTGATCAATTTTCGAATTTTAAGCTTGTCGAGAGCCTTTGTCTATGCCTTTGTGATGAATCACTGACCTAATTATAGAATCCAACAGCAAACAGCCAATCAGAATGCCGCGTTCGTGGGCGAACGCGGAAAGTACAAAATACCGGGCCTTGCTAACCTGAAGTTCAGGCCCTATATTCACAGAATAGGGCCTGACACAAAACCTATCTAAACTGTGGGATTCCCGTCCACCTGGTGGACGGGAAATCTGATTGGTTGATCAGCATCATGAAGGATTTTGATTGGTTGCATGTTCACATAAACAACAGTTTTAAAAATAGCTCGCTCAAGGCGACAATTAATATAAAGGTCAAACGCACGTAACAAATTCCATTATCGATTTCTTCGAATTTCTTTTCTTTTATGCTTTATGGCAGAAAATAAATCAAACAAACAGTATTTTGAAAGGGCTTTATCAAAATCTTTGACGAATTTTGGACACACACGACGCTCAAAGAACAGCCAAACTAGTCATGTATTCGAAAGCTTGTTGTTGACAGCCAAGATGTTCTGCCAACTGGCTTCGCCGGCAAAAGTCTTATTTTTAATATCAGGTCCTACCGGCGTTGTTTTCTGAGCTACATCGCCTTCTTCGTGGTACGATTGAGAATTTAATTGTTGCTGTTGTTAGCCCGTTAGTCGCTTATAGAGTATATCCGCGTCCAGCAAGTTGAGACCTTGAGAAAGCTTGGCAGTCGGCTTGTCCACAGAACTGACTAATTAACATAAATCTTTGTTTGCTGTTCGGTTAAATTTAAATAGAGAAACTGACTCTTAATTATATAAAAGAACCTTGAATTTTTAAGTTTAATGAAAAAGCAAAATGCATACTCTGCGGACATGTTCATGAGAATATAAATTTTTTGTGCAACGAAATCGAAATCTACAACACTTGTCAATCATATTGCATGTGTGTCTAAAAATAACATGTGGGCGTCCCACGGTCTAGACAGGTTTTGTGTCAGGCCCTATTTCAAATTAGGGCCTGAACTTCAGGTTAGGGCCTTGCTTGCAGGCCCACTATCAAGTTCCCTTCAGCCTGCTCCCGTGGGCCTGCACGCGGGCTATATTTCTGCTTGAGTGCAGCTTGTCCTAATTTTCACAGATTTTGCTCTTGTCTTTCTGCTCAAGAATGGAAATCAACTTCACTGGAAAAACAGCGTTGGTAACCGGAGCTGGAAAAGGTATAAATGAAATGCTTACCATCGTCAAACATGCATGTGACCGTAGTCTCGCGCATTCGCGCAAACATTGACATCGAAGCAGACGAAGCCGCTTTATTAAGTAGATCGAAATTTTTGCTACATTTATATTCCTTGCTTATTTGCGTTCGTCTTCTACCTTTGATTTTCAAAATAGCTTACTTGATATTCTGGCAACGTGACAGGAAAATATTATTCAATTTGAAATTGAACATGAATTTTCATGGCTTGCATGTTTGTGCCTAGGGTTGGCTCATGGGCCCCTAAAATTAAAACATTAGAAAAGATATAAAATATAGATTTTAATTATATTACAATTTAATTTAAGATATTAGGCCTACATTTTATATTTTAAAAATCTAAATTACGGTACGTTAATTTCAAAGTTACAGAAAAATGGTATGTGAGGAAATTTTTTTACTCCTCACCCCCCCCAGCTCGCCAACAATTTTGGGGAGAAAAGATCAATTAGTGACTGACATGTTTCATGTTTGATCAGTAATACCCCCAGCACAATCTTGATCCATCCGTTACTGGGCCTGGTCCCCATCAGACGTTGCTTATTTGTTGTCCTTTCCAAGACCCCAGCACATCCCTGCGATCCATTATTTGCTTCACCACTCATCGTATAAGGCTGTGCTTGTTCAATGCAGGAAAGAATGATGAATCATAATCAGGGCATCTCACAATCTCACAATCTACATCTTCTCATTTAGCTGATATTTTGGATTAAATTATTTGTTTTAAATTTGTTGTGCATCCTGTCCCGTCTGGCCAATGAAAGGCACTTGTGGCTATTTTATAATAGTAAGGCATATGTATGCAGTTTGCAGACATAAACAGACAAACCAGCCACATGTACACTTGGATTTTCTCAAAATTTAGTTGTGTCTCAACTCTCAAACATAAGTATAACATATTTAGCCAAAATATTAGCAATTGAATGAAGGAATACTGCAAGGTTGCACAATTTATTGTATGTGTCCTGCAACTTTGTTCCCAGGCTCTTGAGGCTGGGGCTGGTCACATGGTGCATAGAAAATTGATTGCCTATGGGGTTGAGGGAAAAGTCCACTGAGCTATACTATATTACTGGAGGACCTGCTCGGGATAAAAAAGTGTCCGCAAAAACATGGCGGATCTGACGCCATTGCCATGACTACTGGTCCCTAGATTCATGGCAACTACCACTGCCCCAACCGCGATCCTAAGCTTTCGACAATGTACTTCACCCACCTGGTTTCAGCCCAAAAATTTTGTTTTTGAGGTAAAAATCTCATTGAAAATCTTGATATTTTTATCCCAGTTTGCTTGATTTACAACGGACACTGCCTTTTTGCGCCGCTCGTATGTATGAGAACTCTTCAAACAACAACTAGAAGAATATTTTTATTCACTGGTAAGATTTTTACGGATTTTTATATATGAATATTTCTAGATTCTAGCTTGCTTGATTAAACTCGATAGAAATACAAATCCCCGTAGGAAAAATGGTTGGGAATTCTGTAATTTTATTGTTCTTGTAATTTACCACTAGCCTCTGTGTTTTCATATGGTTTTAAAGGCTGCTTGTGGTGTTAAAATCCTTTATACTGAGCACTTATATATTGATTTTAAAGTACTACAGACTTCAGTGTTATAGAGATACGGTATATTAAAGCAAATTTTCCCTGACAAACTTTGAGTGATATATATCCTTGCCAGGTTCTTGTAGCAGTTATTTATAATTTCATACTGTGTAGTTATATTAAACGTCACTTCTACAACAGGCAAACTGAAAAATTGCTTTGCTAGGCCAAAGATAATGTATCAAGTTCAAACCATTCAAATGATTCATGCAATACTCATTGCAATCAAGCAATAACCATAAACCTCTGAATATATAAGCCCCAATGACAGACCCCAATATAAGCCCTCCTGTGTAGAACGGCCACCATAAGAAATTCTGAATATAAGCCCTCTCCCAAATTTAAGTCCTTCAGTCTGTGTTAGCCAATGGACTTATTTTTGGACAAGTATTTTTTAATGCAGCAAAGGGATCCATTCCAACAGCTCAGCCATCAAAAATGCTAATGAATGCATACAAGCATTCAGAGGTTTACATGGTACATTCATCTGACCAACATAGTTTGTCAGAGTTCTATAAATCCTGCACAGCCATTAGAGTTGTAGTTAAGTATTTGTAGGAATGAAGGGTGTGCATGTACGTGCCAGCCAATGCATATTCTCTCAATCACTGCCCTTGGCATTGACCGAAATTGTGCCCTGACAATTAACCAATCAAATTGATGATTGATAACATGTTTGAGAGCATCTTCAGTGGGAGTGTTACTGTTCCCAGTATTGGAGTAGAGCCCAACTGTTCAGTTAGACATTATTTATGAACTTTCTCTCTTAGATCTGCATACATTAGATTATTTTTGATATATTCTAATGTAAAATGAAACTTTGGGATAGTTAAGAAATACAATTAATCTATTTATAATGGACAATTGTCGTCTTGACAAGTAAAATTTCCTGGCATATTAGACGGGCTTATAAATGCCAGAACTTATATATGTGAAAAATTACTGAGTGAGTCAATTTATTTGACATACCATGATATTAATTAACCATCAGGTTGCATTGTGCCCTAATGCACCCTACTTTATTATTTTACTCTGTCTAAACACGAGACAGTTGTGGACTGGAGAGCCATGCATTAACATATCAATAATGTCTAAGTGAACAGTTTAGGCTCTGCTCTACAGTAAATTTCCCTGTAATTGGAGTCTGGGATCTGTGACCCAATACATCTTCAGTGTCTTCATATGATACTGTCACTATTTTATATGTATAATGGACATTTCTCATTCAGGGCGAAACTGATGTAAGTTATGTGGACAAGAAATTAATACAAGTTCTTTCGAATGTGAAAAAAATAGTAGTGGTGCACTACCTCTTGCCAGACCTAACTGGCAGAACTTAAACAATGACTTTTCTCAGAGTCTATAATTTTGTGGGAATGTGTTATATTTACTCTGTACAAACAGCCAAAAAATGATGCATTGAGCTCTAGTTTTAATAATACTGTATTATATATTTTAAAATTATTCACTGCATGGTCAAAGAATAATTATGAAATTAGCAATTTTAATTAAAATAAATAATATACAAAATCAAGCAAATTTTTGTCTTTAATTAATTTTGAAACATTACTGCAATACATGTTTCTTGGTATGGAGTTTCACTAACAACAGGGGCATGAACTCTAGCCTCCTCCACAGGCATCTCACCCGAGGAATTGAGTGATGGGAACCCATTGCAGGCTAAAACGCAAACAGGAAGGGGAAAATGGGCGTACGGGAAGGGAAAAATTAGGGGGGGGGGAGAAATTTGCCTGACTTTTTCGGATTGTGCCAGAGTTCCAAACTTGTCCCATTTATTTTTATAATAAGCCAATATTGCCCGACTGTGAAGCGAATATTGCCCAACTGGCTTTATTTGCCCAACAAACTGGGGGACTGCTGCCCCCCTCGCCCCCTGCCAGGTACGCCCATGCCTGCGGAGGAGGCTCAGAATAGATTATAGCGCCATAGGGGCTATGAATATGGAAGCCAGGTTGGCCTAGTTAGGAGAATAATTTATTATTTCTTTGCCGACACAATTCTATTGTTTTGACAATATTTTCATGACCGATGTTGTTTTGACTTTATTTTGAACAAGTCAATCCAGTTAGTGTTCCCGCCTTCCTGGTGTAACTGAGAGCTTGCCTTGGGCAGGTGAGATCTGAAAACTGAGCCAGTCAGGTTGTCCATACAATTTGAAAGGAATTTCCACTATAAAAATAACCACACAGTGAGGTCTTGCTTACTGGCCTAGCTGTCGCATTATAACAACCCTTACCAAAAATATGCTAGCACTTGAGTCAATTAACCCAATACTCATAAGAGATGGGACAAACAAGTTAATGGATGGCCTTTTAAAGATACATACAAACAAACTATCAGAGAGCACACAATATACAAACTTGGGCAAAACATGCATTAATTTCTCAAATCAGCTGAGCAGCCTGAGCTTTGTCCTGCACCAGTTCACCACAAGCTTATGCATGACAAAACCCGGCCTTGGCTAAATCTATATATAAAACCTTACTTACCTCTTTAATATACTAGCACATCATAGTTTCATGTCAAATATTTGTCAAATTCATATACATGCACAACCATTAATTCCTTGGGATTGAGGGATGAAATTATTATATTTTAAAGTTATAAAAAGGTTCGTCTACAACCACATAAATACTCGTGGCTTGTTTTCTAAAAAATAGAGTACATTCTACCATTTATTCCTAACATTTTTTCATGAAATATTTAAAATAGTAATGTGAATTTTGAAATATTTATAAATACCTGTTTATAGTCTGATAAATACGGATGTTTGCTCTGGCTTGAAGTATCGTTTTTGTCCACATTTCGGCTTTCGCGAGGTTTTAATAGTTGTTTGTTGTCTTTCACGCTCCACGGACGACAATGAACGTGTACGGCTTCCACACCTTTGAACAAATGGTCAACAGTCGAAAAAATATGTCGAAAATATCAAAACAACAAGTATTCACTGCAAAAAGCCGAAAATTTTTATAAAAACCAGGGGAGGGGGTGAAAACTGTGGCGGGCTCATATTTGAGCTTTGTTCAGTGGCAATTACCATGAATTTAGGGACCAGTAGTCATGGAAATGGCGTCATTTTCACTCAAAATCCACCATGTTATTGCGGACACTTCGTTCACTGAACGAAGTATAGGAGCAGGTCCTCCAGTTATTATACAGCCCAGTGGTGATACCCCACAGGCGGCGGAAGTAATTAGTACGCAAAATTTATGACGTCACCTTGTCCAGATAACATCGGCTCTAGCGGCGGAAGTAATTAATATGCAACATCGCAATAGCGTCACGTTACCAAGTCGCATTACCATTAGGTTGCGTTACATGGTTACGTTACCTGTCACAGAACTCAGTGACGTTACCATACGTCACATTATATGTTACGTGGCCAAGTCCAGTCACAATAGTGTCGCGTTACTCTAGTCACGCTACCGATTTTTTAATATAACAGGAAAATCAGAATCTTAACCTTATTTATTGACATTTCAGGTATGTGTGCAGTGTGCACCACTATCCATTCTTGTTGACTTTGTTCAAAGCTTGTTTGTAAATGAAAAGATGATCCAAATTAACATTATTTTCGAGTGACACTGACTATTGCCCCAGCTAGTAGCATGAAACAAACAAAACTTTGTCTGATATCTCATTTCTGCGGGGAGAATTTTGCAATTTGTGCATAGTAGAAATTCACTACATTTAGTTGTGCTGCAATCGCTATATGATTATGTTATGGATTATGTCAACGTTTGCATGATATTTCAAACACTAATTAATATTCATAAGCTTATTGGCAAATAATGTCAACCATAATATGTCACGTGCAGTGGCTTTAAACCTACTTTAGGATAAAACACTCCTAATTAGTATTCGTTATATAAAGAATAAAAATAAGGCAGTATCTATTGTAGTCGTGTCCCCATTAGTATTACTGGGACCTGGCTGTGAATGGAATTTTAGCCGGTTTTATATGAATAATTTATTATACATGCATGTTACTGAACAATTTATTATACATGCATGTATTTTTAAATATTCTTGAGATGCGCAGAGAGGCATAATTTATTAACATTAACAAGTGACCTGCTAGTATGCAAAATCTATGACGTCACCTTATTCAGATGGCATCGGCTCCAGCGGCGGAAGTAATAAGTATGCAACGTCACAATAGCGTCACATTACCAAGTCGCATTATCATTAGGTTGCGTTACATGGTTACGTTACCTGTCACAGAACTCAGTGACGTTACCATACGTCACATTAGGTTACGTTACCAAGTCCCGTTACCATACGTCATAATAGCGTCTCGTTACCGATTTACATCACAATAGAGTAACGTTACAAAGGATCATAGATTATAAATATCGTGTTTGGACGAAATTGTCGGAAGTCGTCCTAGATAGCCGGACGTCGTCTTATAGACTTATAAGGAGGTAAGATGGAGAAGACGGAGTCGGACTTCCGGAGTCTTAAAGTGTGGAAAACACGGGGTCATATGGAAAACACGGAGTCTGACGTCAGAGAAAAATATGGAAAACACGTAAAAATATGGAAAACACGGAGTCCGACGTATTGGCAAAGTGATGGAAATATAAACAAAGCGAACGAATTTTCTGGTTATTTCTCTAAAATGCCGTGAAAATATCGATTCATATTAAATAAAATCAAGCAAATGTAAATGATATCGTTTCTCCTGTCGTTTGACTTATTCAACCGTATTTAAAGTATTTCATTGCGGATTTTGTTCACCCCGTATGGTATATTGACTGTTGTTTATAAAATAGTTATATACACACTGGCTATAGAATATTTCATAGTCGATATCATACTCGTACACAATTAAGCTTCCTTGGCAATAGCGTGCTGGTTCAAAAGCATGATCTCAGATTAGTCAAGGCAGAATCTTGCTTAGACAGGCCAGTTTGGTTCCCAGATTAATGCAATATGAAATTTAATAGGAATAATATCAAATTATTCTGCAACCCGGGTTACCACAGTCACTATGTTTATGATGCAATCACCATAAAAATATGCTCAAAATGTCAAAGTTTGCTCTATTTTTCAGACAATTCTAACATACAAGAAGTCCGCAAGTTGCATTTTTTGCCTACACTGGCACACAACATTCAAGATGTTATGCTTATCACCTCAGTACTTATATACCTCACGAATTATGACTAAGCTGGCTGCATATATTTAAAACTGTATAAAACAGTAGTATTATTTTGGCTTCGTGGTGTACGGCTCAATATCTATGGCATGCTTTCAGTACTTGAGCGCCTGTATAGCTCGTCAAAGCCTACTGCACGCTATTGCAAAGGAGTTTTGTGTATGAGCTTGAAATCGACTATGAAATATTCTATCCACATAAGTTCTAACTATCTTATAAACACCAGTCAGTATACCATTCAGAAACCACTGCCAGCAGGGTAACACACCATACGGTGTGAACAAAATCCGCATTAAAACACTTTAAATACGATTGAATAAGTCAAACGACAGGAGAAACGATGTCATTTGCTTGATTTTATTTAAGGTTATTCCACATGATGGAAACCCATTTCACCAAAATGCTCACCGCGCGCTCAATTTTCAAGTTTTCCCCTTCAAATTTTGCATGCATAATGATAAATCATTGCTGTAGCTAACGATTTGCCAAAAATTCTACACCTTTAAAAACTGTACTTGCTACGGGTTGCTTTTGAAAATATAACAGCCTTTGCCCCACGAGATTAGAACGCTCCTGATTTACCTCAAAGGCTTCCGAAACATAATATTTCGCATCTCAAATGATCAAAGAACAAAACCGTTTTTTGACAGGTATTATATTTGCTTTGACATAAAGCAGAGAAGTTGACTCATCTAAATTTTGGGAGAACGGCAGAATAGATGCCTATAACTTGAAAAGTATGGCACTAAATAAAAAACGCGAACACGGTTTTGCTGCTGTAATGTTGTTCAACATTGTGACAAAGTTTGGAGGGAATCGGATAAAACGTGCGCATTTCTAAACAATTTTTGTGGGGACAATCTGACAGTATTTCAATCTCAGTAAAAGACGATATTAGGTTTGGCGGGGGGTTTTCCGCTCTCTGTTATCACCTCGAACTGTAATCGGATTAAACTTAGTGAAGTGTCATAGTGTGTTTTGGCAAGGGTTTTCGGTGTCATTCACTCATCATCAGTTTATCAGTTATCACAAACCGTACATGCGAGAAACCACGCGAAAAAACTTGCTAATATGCCGGCGAAACGCAAATGTACAAAGGGATAGCTATACAGACCGATCTAAATCGGCCAAACGAAAATACAGTTGAAGATCTGTCGTGCAACACGAAGACACAAGCGAGGTTGAAGGTCACACATCCGGTATCGAGTATCACATCAAGCCACATATTGCCAATTACAATTACAACTTTCGCGGCAAAGGAATCAGTGGTTATAACATATTTTGTTATATTTCGGACGCATTTTAATATTTTGGAAAAAAACTTCCGGCAATCGATAGATCTCCAGTCCGTGAATATAAATCAATAAAAATGTAAAAAATGATTTCATCATATAATGTAACCTTAATATGAATCGATATTTCCACGGCATTTTAGAGTAATAAACAGAAAATCCGTTCGCTTTTTTATATTTACATAAATTATATATTATTTAATTACTTTTTCTATTTCACGATGACAATACTCCGTGTTTTCCATATTTTATGGCGGACTCCGTGTTTTCCATATGACTCCGTGTTTTCCATATTTTTATGACTGCGGGATTCCGTCTTTTCCGTGTTACCCTTACGAGTATCAAGTGTCGTGTATATAGACAATGGAATCCAAATGTGCAAACGCAGAGACGTGTATGAGGAATACATTGTGAGTATCTGTTCATTCTTCTATATTCTGCGGGCCGTCTTGGGTGAAACTATACATAATATAACAGGAAAATCAGATTTAAGACCTTATTTATTGACATTTCAGGTATGTGTGCACCACTATTCATTCTTGTTCGTAAATGAAACTGGCTATTGCACCAGCTAGTAGAATGAAACAAACAAAACTTTGTCTGATATTTCATTTATAGTCTTCATCAATGCTTGGCCCATTTCCGTTTCTGTGGAGAGAATTCTGCAATTTGTGTATAGTAGAAATTCATTACATTTAGTTATGCTGCAATCGTTATATGATCCCCGAGCCGACGCCGCGATATGAAGTTTTTTAGCGGACAAAATATCTGAAATGTATCAATCGAGTTTATGCGCTATAAATTGATGTTATGTGCTATACATTGATGTTATGTGCAAATACATCGATGTCATAAACCGATACAACTAAAAGATAAACCGATACAACTAAAAGATAAACCGATACAAATAAAAGATGAGGAAACGGAAATAAATACCAATAAAAGATGAGGAAACGGAAGTAAACACTAATAAAAGATGAGGAAGCGGAAGTAAATCGGAAAAACGGAAGTTGAGCGACGCAGCAAAATTGCGCGTGCCAAGTAGTGGAGAATACATATTGAAAAACAAGGGCAGAACTGCAGGCCAAACTAGGGCTAGGCAGAAGAGAGACAGCTAGGGCAGAAGACCAACAGAAAACGCATCACAAGGTGGTTCAGCGCAGCAGTTCACATCGTTACCCGAAGAACTGAATTCTCGTTTCCGAATACCACGTACTCAGAATTCGTATGTACGGTGTGTACCAAATAATGCGTCTGTGCCGCAGCCAGCCTTTCAGGGATACTGAATTTTACACACATGGCTATCTCCTTCTCTCGCCTTATATATTTTACATGCCTCCATACAAGCTTTTTAGTAGAGCGAGATCATACTCCTTGAGTATGATCAAATTTTTTTACACCACAGGATATTTTACAGATACAATTTCACACACGCATCTCCAATTTTATGTTCGAAAAGTCTACACCTACACTTATATTTCTTAGGTTTACATTTATACATATACAAGTGGTTTTTTATTTTTTATTCTCAGGCTTATCAAATACAACATTTTCACAAGCATAAATTGTGCCACTGAACACGAGGCCATCACACTATCATATTTCACATTACATTTTTTATCTAACATTTAGGGACTATTGTGGCATAAATGTATTACTAGGACACCAATATGGTACTCTTTACCTATATCTAAACTTAATAAAAAGCAATGTGGTTAACTGCTCTTCTGTGACTTGTATTCTTGGCCTACCAACGAGCCCGTTTCTTTCCGCCGTACAAACCGCACTATCGTAAAGCGCTCTGACGTCCGTTCATAATTTTCAACAATAACGTCGAATTCATTTGGTAAACTATTTAAATAAGTACATAGTATATGTAGATTGTTGATTAAAAACTGCTCCGTTGTGTATGATTCGGTGATTCTTGTTGTTAAAACACTCAATCATTGAGTCTCAATGTGCGTTCATACTCTTCTAATCTACGACAATAAAAGTCTGGCGAGTCACAACGAGTGCGACACTTTGTTCAGCATTTCTTATTAAATCAACCAATTCACGAAAAACGTTTTCTGTATTAGGAAGCCAAATGCGTGGTCCAAGAGACGCCATTGTTGTATGTCCCCGCGTCGCTCAACTTCCGTTTTTCCGATTTACTTCCGCTTCCTCATCTTTTATTGGTATTTACTTCCGTTTCCTCATCTTTTATTGGTATTTACTTCCGTTTCCTCATCTTTTATTTGTATCGGTTTATCTTTTAGTTGTATCGGTTTATCTTTTATTTGTATCGGTTTATCTTTTAGTTGTATCGGTTCATCTTTTAGTTGTATCGGTTTATGACATCGATGTATTTGCACATAACATCAATGTATAGCACATAACATCAATTTATAGCGCATAAACTCGATTGATACATTTCAGATATTTTGTCCGCTAAAAAACTTCATACCGCGAAGCGCCGTGCGAAGGTACTAATTCCCTTCGGTTATTTACACCCGGGGATACGAAAGCATTAGCGGAGTCTAAAGTTCATCAATTATCGCGGGTGTGGGTCACCAACGGTGTTGGGTGGAGGTCATCCTCACTGATCTGAAAAATATGGTGGACTATCACGAATAGCGGACACTGATTGGTCCAATTTAAAGTTTGCATTATAACGACTGCATGATGACAGCGAAATAGCAAACAGTCATTTCTTGATTTGATGATTATAAATTTCTTGCAAATATATTTCATTTTGCTCGCATTTTTGCAAGATTTTGTAAATTTCAAAAGCTCTCTGAGAAAGAAACTGCGAAAGAATCGGCTAAAAGAAGGGAGCCGACGTTAACGAAGGTAAGTTTGTTTTAAATATTGATTTTATAATGGATTTAAAACCCAACGGCCTTTGCGTATATGAAACAACTAAACAAAACAGTATATAATTTCAGTGTATCTTTAATATTGATTCGTTTCTTATGATATTGAATTTTTTAAATAGAAAAGAAAGCCAAGTTATTTGCAAACTCAAAGTTTATCGATAAAGCCATTTTAAAAGGCAGTTTAGTTTTATAACACTATAGCGACTTTGAAAACGTTTTGCGAAGCGTTTGTGGTTGAATTTTACCTTAAATTGAGGCTTATATTACGTATAATAACATACCTAACATCATTCATGATATATATGTTGAGAAATTAATAATTTTATAATTAAAAGTGATATTTTTAGACGATTTTTCATTTGTAAGAATATTCTTAAAAATTATCGTGTTACCATGACAACTACTTTAGATACTTCATGTTCGGAAAATACAATGGTTTTGTCAGCAAGGCGAGGGTTTCTGCATGCATGTATTTTCTAGTTATGTTATGGATTATGAGCATTATGTCAATGTTTGCATGATATGCAGACTAATGAAATATTGAAACACACGTGATACTTATGGCATGGTGGAAAAGACGGAGTGTGGAGTGCGGAGTCAAAAAATGGTTTATTTTGCCTAAAGATTCGATTACAACGACACTCCGCGTTTTCCACTTACGCTGAGTCTCGTTAAAATTGAATCTTCAGGCAAAATAAACATTTTTTTGACAGACTTCGTACTCCGCACTCCGTGTTTTCCAACATGCCTACTGTAAGTGATATCCAAAGAGTTCACTGTGTAACTTGTTGACAGAATAGTGACACTGGGTGAGATTGAATTTCCGTCTCTTGTGAGAGGGTTTAGTTAAAATCAACATAATATATTCTAGACAATATAATCAAGAGAGTATCTATAACTTAAATAACAGTAGGCCAAGACTTTGTACAATTTAGACGAGAGCTCAGGTGGAAAAAACCTGTAAGTATTGATTGTTTTATTTAGTTCATGTGGGTAATACATGTTGGTTTACACATTAATCATTATAATATCTTAGATTATTATCATTCCTAGTTAAATAACACACGCAAATACACAGACACATATATGATCAAGTATGAATACTGATTTTTAAAGAACTTCCATATCGTTTAATTTCAATTCTTGAGATTTCAGTTCTGCACATTGAGATAAACACAACTTACCAGATCTTACAAATTAGGTAAGACCTACATATAGATATATTGCTACTTTATGGAGCGACGTTGGAGCGGCAGGTCTTGTCGCATTATTCGACTCTGGAGAAAAAGCAAGTCAGATGTCGCAGGGGCAGATTTAGACCGTTGCAACTGTAGCATATGCTACGGTCAGATTTTCCATTGGCCAGTTCTAACATATAAAATCAATTTAAAATATAATTTAGCAATATTTTGTTTACTTTCCTTGTTTATATTTCAAGGTTTTATTCTGATGACATTGATACGTAACGACTAACGTTAATTGTTTTAAGAATTCCCGCCCGAAAATAGGTTTGTAATTGCCCGTTTGCGGGTCATTACGCAATGGACTATAGCTTATAAAATAGCATCCTTCAGAAATACACCGTAGCGTGTTGCCCATATATGATCAATTTTCGCTACGGTCAGATTCATTAAGGTCGAATCTGACGGTCAAACGTAGCAAACCAATCAGAATGGGGCAAATGCTATAGTTTGCTACGGTGGCATGAAATTGGCTACTGCTCCAGAACGATGGAATATCTGATATTTGTGTTTGGCTCATCAACAACATGCTATTGGGAACCCACAGTGCCAGTACGGTTGTGCGCATTTCGAAATGAAAGCCGCCGTAAAGCTACTGAATATATATGATCGAGGTAGAAATAAAATCAGATGGTAAAACGAATCATTTCCAGTCAGGTAAGCCTTATGAATAATAAGAGATACACATTAATATTTTAATTTGAGTTTTTACCGTATAGTGTTCACTATTAACTTCGCTTTAAGTGTTTGTGCGCGTATGTACAGTATACCTGCATGTATTGGAATTAATACGCGAATTATGATACGCGCGTATATATTATATCGTGTTTTATAGCGCCCTAATATTTGTTTGTAATGCGTATTCGTATGATACGCGTTTTCGTATGACACGCACGTTCATATGATACGCGTATTCGTATGATACACGCGTTCGTAGATGATACGCGTATTTCGGTATTCAATTGATAATGATATGCGTATGATACGAGTATCATGCCGGTATCGTATGTTAAGATATACGCGAGCGATACTTTACTTTTTGAAATCTTTCTTATTTTTGTTTGAGAATTAATGAATACAATGAGGACAAATTTAATGGTCACATGCAGTGCTCAGAACGCAGGAAATGGCATTTCCGGGCTTCAAATTTCAAAAATGTTCCGGGGGGCATGCCCCCGGACCCCCCTATAGCTATGCGAGCTCTTTGAAAATGCTACGGTCAGAATTTTGGCTGGATCCACCCCCTGTGTCGCTCCTCTCATGCGCCCGAACCTAACTTCATTTTATAACATTTTTGACTGTGAGTTAATCGTAGTATGATTAGTATCTCTGATGTTAATCAATAGACCTCTCTTATAACGACGTCAAAGGCATGGAAAAACACTTAATGTCCCAAGGGATAATTTTTAGCCGCAATTCGCAATGCAAATGATGTTTGTCTGAAATTTATTGGCTCACCAACCACCTGTGTCACCAATTCTCAAATCCGTATGAGGCCGGATGATCATCCCCGCCATGTAACTTAAATAATGTCCTTGACCCACACCTTAGGATAGGGTTGGGGTAGGGTTGAGGAGGGATGTGGGTCAGGTTCGTTCGAATTCTAGAATTTTAAATTATCACTCTCCCAAATTTACAGTGAGCTGTTGACAGTAATAATTAAAAGCATACAAATTTTATAAATTGTATCGTCGTTGAGCACCATTTTAACAACAGCTTTTTGCAATTTGGAATGGTATTAAAGGTGAGGCATATTCCATGACCATAGAACATGCATTCTAAGCCTGAAGTGGTTGTTCTATTTTGGGTGCTGAATTGACTAATTTCAGTCTGGTGGTTTTTAACCCACTGGTTCACTGTAAAACCAGTTTGGTTAAAATAACCAACTTGAATTGGTTGTCTCAGATGCATCTTCTTTTCACCAATATTGTTCGGTCAAAACAACCAAAATATTTTCACTGTGTAACGCTAACAGTATCCTACCATCATGGTAACATTATGGCAACAGAATCTTAGAGTTTTCACATGACCTAATTTCCTTTATTTCTAGACTTTCCTATGATGATCGTGGAGGTTGCAACAACGTTGTGTCTTGTATGGTTTGTCTGGTATTTTGTGACAACGTACTTTGAAAGAAGATCAATGCCACCGGGACCGTTTCCCTACCCTTTAGTTGGAAATCTGCGAGATGTAAATTTCAATTCCAGTAAACCATTTAGAAAACTCAGAGAAACATATGGCAACATATTCACTGTTACTTTAGGGAGAAAATGTGTTGTTGTGAATACTGCCTCACTTGCTCGAGAAGCTAGATTTGGCCGAAATAAAGATTATGCGGTTGGTGTGTCAGTCGAAAGCATTTATCCATTTAATATTATATTAGGCCCAAATGATGTCGTATTCGCGGATTATGGAACACCATACTTATTTCGTAGGAGAGTATTTAAGTCAGCAATGCATGTTTTTGGAGCAGGTATCAATGAAGCAGAAGAGAGAGGAGGACACGCAGTAAAATCTATGTTGGAGAAGATTGATTCTTTGAAAGGTCAGCCGTTTTCTCCGAAGGAACTAATCGTGTCAGCAATACTGATTCAACTGTGGCAATGGCTTACATCCGAGAACCTATAATTCGAGCACTCGAATATAAGGCTCCTTCTTGAATTTGGTGAAATAACCGCAAAACAAAACTTGGAAGGTACTTACTTACACAAGTTGCCATTCCATTCCTATCTTCCAACTGAATTCAATCGAAGCATAAAGCGAGCTACAGATATAAAATCCTCCATAATTCACCCGGTTTTCCAATCCCACCTAGAGACTCACACCCCAGGCGTTATTCGTGACATGACTGACAGTTTTATCAGTGCTTATAAGAAAGAGATGGCAAAAGAGACGAGCAAAGATATTGGATCTATTGACGATATTCGAGATTTGATGGTTGACGTTATTTTTGCTGGTTCAGATACAACTTCTTCTTCACTGGCTTGGTTTATATTGTACATGGTCTCATATCCTGAGGTTCAGAAGAAAATCCACCACGAACTTGATCAAGTCATAGATAAAGACGACTTACCTCGCTGGCAAGATGTCAGGAATATGCCCTACCTGCAAGCCACGATATGTGAAGTTATGCGTAGGTCTAGTCCAGTGCCATCCACTGGTTCAAACACAACACGTGCTATAACCTTAGCTGGGTACCATATTCCTAAAGGAACGTGGATACTCCTCGATTTAACCCAAATTCATCACGATGAGCAGGAGTGGCCGCAGCCTGAGGAATTTAAACCTGAGCGCTTCCTTGACGTTGAAGGGAAGTTTGTTGGTTGGACCAAACTTGATGCTTTTCTGCCATTCGGACTTGGCCGTAGAGAATGCGCTGGTATTGCGTTCGCAAAAATTATGTTGTTTACTTTTGCGGCGACGTTATTACATCGTCTTAGGTTTGAATTACCAGAAGGAGCCGAAAAGCCGAATGAAGAGCCGTCTAGTATTGCACTTGTGTCTTCTCCAGGTGATTTCAAGGTTGTAGCGAGAAATCGACGTTAAAAACACATATGGACTTTGGATTCAAGGATCATAAAATAGAATAGGCAATGTAGTGAACAAATATTGTATTTACTGTAGTAGTTAACTTTAATTAATTTCATATGAACTATACTAGGACATAATTATGTAGGAACTAAGTTGACTTGTAGTTTAAAGGTTGATTGGTTGCATTATAGAGTGGATAGTTTAAATTTGTGTACTGATTTGTGCATTCAAGGAATAGGCCAGATATGGTACGAGGAGAGATTATCAAAGTTCGGCTTAACGACCTTACTGGAACCTCGTGCTCAGGGTAATTTAAATGGAACCTTTAAAATTGTTAATGGTTTGGTCAATTATGATCAAAACATGTTCTGTAAGTCAAGATCACGTGCCATATATAGCTTAAAGAGGCAAATAACAGAATTGATTTCAAGACTAAATTAGATCATAAGTAGAAGTATCCACAATTGTTACTGGGTACTCTTGCAAGAAATAGTTGGGAGGCTGTGAACTAATTTTCATAAAACTTTGTTACGGAACAATTTATTATACATGTATGTATTTTTTAAATATTCTTGAGATGCCCAGAGAGGGATCAGTAATTTATTAAAGTTAAAGTTCTCTACAGTTCTCTACATGAACAATCTAATAGATTTAATAAAGATTCGCATGCAGTTAATCAATTAGGCAGACTAATAAAATTGAGTAGCAAAACAAACGCGTTGCACATACCCTTGTTAAAAAAGCCGTTTACATGAGCAACGTACAATGCAATCCTACAATGTTTAACGCAATCCTATAATGGAGAAAACAATGTTTGCTCCTTTTAGCTGAGCAGTGATACCCCCCACTCTCTCGGCGGAAGTAATTAGTATGCAAAATCTATGACATCACCTGGTTCAGATAGCATCGGCTCTAGCGGCGTAAGTAATTAGTATGCAACGTCACAATAGCGTCACGTTACCAAGTCGCATTACCATTAGGTTGCGTTACATGGTTACGTTACCTGTCACCGAACTAAGTGACGTTACCATACGTCACATTAGGTTACGTTCCCATTTGTCCAGTGCGTGTGACCACCTGTTTTCGTGGTGGGCGTGGCAAAAAAACAATGGCCGACAAAAATACTTATATTTCAAAGATGGCCGTCCATAGGACGTCCACCTGGATATCTGCGTGCAGGATATCACCTGTCCTTTGTATGAATTACTAATACCAGAACATTACCTGATTTACAAGATCTTTCCAATCCTTAATAATCGAGATTTCTTTGTCTGCAGAATCCATATAAGCCGTCAATGTGAATACTGCACCAGCGCCCCACAACTCTAGCTCACGAAGTGCTTCACGAATAGAAACTTCACCTTGAGCGCGACTGTTTAATTCCTACCCACAAAAAGATAAGATATACTGTATACTTATATTAATCTATTGATTATCAAAAAATATTTTAAAACAAGGACAACAGAAAACATGTAAGGGCACTGAAACAGCTTACAAAGTGCCATCAACGCCAAGTTTTTAATTGTCTCATTGTAAAGAACATTTAACACTACACTGCAAAAAATGTGCCCATTGTGTTACGTTAGAAAAAGGATGGACAGATGAATGTCAAATTACGATAATTGTAACGATGTTCAAAGCAGAACATTCTTAATGACGTTTTTGATGTTACTCTGAGTCAGTGGTGTAACTTTACTTTTTTGACCATATGCTCTCAGGGCAAGTTGGACAAGAAAATTAGTTAACCTGAATAAAATTCACTTGCCATCAAACAGGTGGTATAAATTAACGGGACAACATATCGACCCGTTCTCCTACAGCTCAGTATGGCTATGTTATACTACCTCAGATCTAGCTTTGGTCCACAAAAAAGCAAAATTTGAATCAAGTACATGCACCAAAAAAAAATATATGACAATGAAAACATGACCACAGTGGAAATCGAACCCGTGTGAAATACCACACACTCGAACAGACATAGCCTCGTAGCTCAGTTGGCAGAGCATTGGACTAGTATCCCAAAGGTCGCGGGTTCGATTCCCACCGTGGTCAGGCTAACTTTGCAGCCTGCTCTGTGTGGATATACACTCAGAGTAACATCGAAAACATTATATTCACCTGAGTACATAACATCAAAACACACACAAAAAATATCTTTCTTAATAACGTTATTCCTCTATATGATACAATACCTTGATAGCATCAGCATTTGCAATGATTTCGTCAGCAACTTTGATGATATCTCCAAAGGTAAGTTTTTCTAGCGTTGTTCCCCTGGGTAATTTTAGTAACCTAAACATGTCCAGCCAGTGATCAGGAGACAATTGTTCACCTCTCACAAATTTCAGCAAGGGATGAATGATCTAAGTGAAAACAAAACAAAAATAGTATCAACAAATTATTCTTGTGACAGGCGCGTATAAGTTTGGTGCCCCCAAGGCAGGGGGATCCTAGATCCTTTTGAAGTACCATGAAGCTCTGACAATATGGACACTTTGCTAGTCGTTTAGAAGCGAATTTTAATAGTTTCTTAAACTGGAAATATAAATATATAACAAAATTTTTAAAAAAAACTATAAATAACAGTATGCAGAAATTGTTTTTGACATAAACAGTGAAATGTTTGCCACTGTACCTATGCACATACAAACTTAGATTAAAAAGGATTCCGGACAACTCAGTTCAGTGTGCCCCCTGGAAGCCTGAAGGCCTGTGGACCCCGACTCTTACCGGGTAGAGCTCATAGGAGTTATAGTCTAGGACCTGTATATGAGTTTGTATGCGTTTCATTTAGGACAAGTAATCTCAACTGTTTTAGGGTAAAATGACCATGGCGGTCAACATGGCATATGTGCCAAAACCTGAATCTGGGATGAAAGTCCTGAAAATGACCTCGCCCTGAAACGGCAGTGTCGACATAGTGTTTGAAACTTTATATATTTCTAATATTATTACATGAAGTATTACGATAACAAATAAATTTAAGTGTTTGTTGCGTAATCTGTCACAGTCCCCGGGTTGATCATTAAACATGATCAAATGACTAACTTAAACTAAATATGAACTGATGAACATTTTCCTAATGTTTTTACGTTTGTTCTGATTCCTAATGTTTTTACGTTTGTTTTGACAGTTTTCGTACAAGTTCTCCTTGAACAGCTGCCTTTCTTTTTGGTCGATTCTTCTTCTCTACAACGGCAGTCTTAACATCAATGTCTAATGGTTCTGTACTGAGATCTTGTGTTCCGGATGATTCTTCATTCACATCAACTAGTTCTTCTTCATGCTTGTTTCCGATTTTCGAGCGAATTTCCAATGGGATTAAATGTTGTATAGGTCTTCGTATGATGATAGGCTTTCGAGTCTCACTGTTCAACACTCGAATCTTCGCCGATCTTACAACACCGTCAATACTTCGAATATAAGCTCTTCGACCTTCGCTATTTTCCAAAATAACCGTTTCATGCTCTCCTTCTTCAAAATTACAATGTCTCCTTCGACAATTACGTCCCTTGTACCGTTGTTACTCGATCTCGCTGCTTCGCGAATACTTAGCAAATATTCTCGTCTCCATTGTTTAGTGAATTCCTTTAGTAGAGTTTTGTGATGTCGAGCTCGTCTTGTCAAAGACTCGTTTGTGCTCACTATCTCGAACTGGCTGTCGTTTGGCGTAGTCGTCGTTCTCCGTCCATAAAGTAGACAAGATGGCGTAAGGGGGTACGATATGCCCTCTTCATCATCGTATATGTACGTAATTGGACGATTATTTAACGTTGACTCAATCTCGATCAAGATCGTGCGTAACTCTTCAAACGATAACGTAGCTCGACCAATGGACTTTTTTAGGCACCTTTTAACACTCTTTATCAAACGTTCCCAAAAACCCCCGTGCCATGGGGCCTTTTCGATAATGTATTTCCAAGAAACGCCATTTTTTGCGAGATGTTGTTGCACTTCGGGAGAACGCTTAATTTTTGACAGTTCCTTGCTAGCGGATTTAAATGTCTTTGCGTTATCTGAAATTATCATTCTTGGAAGTCCTCTCCGACCTGAAAATCTACGAAATGCTTGTAAGAATCCTTCGGCTGATAAACTCGGAAGCAGTTCTACATGAATTCCACGTGTTGACGCACAAGTAAATAGAGCGATGTATGACTTTTTTGTTGATTGTTGACCACACTTTGAGTTCTCTTTGACGTTGAGGGGTCCAGCGAAATCCACTCCTGTGTAACTAAAGGGAGGGTCATCACTTGTTCGCCAAGATGGTAGGTGCGGAGTCTTGGGCGTAGGGTACGGCTTCCCTTCCAATCTTTTACAAGTCACACATTTACGTAGAACTCGCTTGACTGCTTGCCTTCCATGTAGGATCCAATATCTTTCTCGAATACGGTTCAGTGTTCCTTTAATACCAGTGTGGTTTGCTGAATCGTGATGTTCTTGGATGATCAAATCTGTAACGTGATGCTTTGCGGGAAGGAGTACAGGTTTCTTAGCTTCAGAAGAAACAGAAGAATGTTCAATTCGTCCTTCACAGCGTATCATTCCTTTTTCGTCCAGAAATAAGCGTAGTTGATCAAGCCTTGAGCTGGAAGTTTTCGTACGATTAACTAATTGTTTAACTTCTTCGGGAAACATATTGCTCTGAATATCCTTTATCCATATCTGTTCGGCTTCGATCAGTTCGTCTGCTGATAGTTCTAACGTTTTATCTACGGTTTGTCCTTTAATCTTCCTCACGAACCTAAATACGTAAGCCGTCACTCGTAATAAACGTGTTTTCGAGCTATATCGATGACAATCCATCACCCTGCCGACATTAACTGTGTTATGTTTCTTCTCTAAGACTGTAAGGGAATGAGTTGTTGACTCGTTGACTGATTTCACCGTTTCCGATAATGCGATTTCACTTTCTGTTCCATTACATCGAGGAGGTTTCGGCCAGTTTTCTTCTGATAACTTCAGGAATTTAGGACCATGGAACCATTCGTCGTTTTTAACCAGTGCTGCTCCACTACAACCTCGCGAAGGTAAGTCTGCAATGTTAAATTCTCCTGGGCAGAACATCCATTTATCCTCTCCAACGAGTTTTCGAATTTCGTCGACTCTTCTCTGTATGTACTGTTTCCACGGTTTATCATTTTGTATCCAACAAAGTACGGTAAACGAATCAGTCCACATGAATATCTTCGGATTTACTAATCGAGACCAAAGGATCTTGCTAATCGCGCTAACCAATCGAGCAAGGATAGTAGCTCCGAGAAGTTCCAACCTAGGAATAGACTGCTTTCGTATCGGAGCGACTCTAGTCTTGGATGCTATGATGTTGGTTTCAACATGATGGTCTTCATACTCTGTTCGCAGATAAACTACCGCTGCGTATGCCTTTCCAGAGGCATCACCAAACCCATGGATTTGCTGGCTCGTTATTGGTACATTGAAACGACTGAAGTAGCATCTTGGTACTTCAATTGAATTGATTGACTCTAATCCTTGTAACAGCGAGTTCCAACATGCTAATGAATTTTCATCGAGTTTCTCATCCCAATCTACGATCACAGCAAAGCAACTGGAATAAGATCTTAAGATTGACTGTAAATGGACTAAGTATTCCAATTGGGTCAAAAATCTTTGCTGAAGCCTTTAATACAGATCTCTTTGTAGCGGGTAGTGTTTTGGTATATTCAACAAGTTCCTTTACACCGAATTGGAATTTGTCAGTTTTAACGTTCCAGTTAGATCCTAATATATTGACAGGCGTAATTTCCTTGCTATGTTGTTTTGAATCAATCTCTTTTTCACATTCGAAAACTGAACTTGATGTCGTTTGTGTTCCGTTTGACAATGTATCTTTCTCAATTCGATCTTGTAAAACCTTGGAATTCGAATTCCATTTACGCAAAACAAATCCACCCTTCTTCATTACATCTTGAGATTTATCGTAAATGTCCAATGCTTCTTCATCATTATCAGCTCCTCCTGCGAAGTCGTCAACGTAGAGCGATTCTTTTAACAACTGGGGTACAACAGAACCTTTTTCGTCATGTTGTGATAAATGATTTTGTATCACGGTGGACAAAATTGCTGGACTCGGTGTTAAGCCGAATACAAGGCGTCGGAATTGGAATCTTTTAATAGTGGGATTGTCCTTTCGAATGTCATCGAACCAAAGGAACCTAAGCATACAACGATCGGATGGACTAATCTGCACCTGATGAAAGGCCTTTTCAATATCAGAAACAATCCCCACTGGATAACTTCTGAATTTTATTATCGTATCAAATAATGGCGGTATAAGGTTGGGACCCTTTTGTAAGCATTCATTTATGGATGGACTGTCTATATCCGGTCTTGCTGATCCATCGAAAACCACTCGTAGTTTTGTAGTCTCTCTCTCGGACTTCAACACTCCATGATGCGGTAAGTAGTAACCCTCGCTGTCGTCTTCTTCCGGTACTGATTCGATGATACCACTATTTATTTGCTGCTGAATGACTTGATTATATTCTTCAAGAAGAGTATTGTCTTTCTTCAGACGTGAATGCAGTTGTCGCAATCTGTTGACACACATACCATATCCTGTTGACTTTGGAAAACAGTCCTGTTTCCAAGGCAGATTAACTTCATATTTTCCTTCGCCTTTATCAAAATGTATCTCGGGTAGAAATTCCGTTGTCTGGGTTTCACTAAACGTATCATTCTTGATACCAATCGATTCGGTCTCCCAGAATCTTTGAAGACTATCTGTCAGGTTATCATCTCGTTTGATGCTGCTGGGCAATAGATATGTTGCAGGTTCTTCTCGTTCGATTACTAAGTGCGATAATGTTGCATTGTTATTTTTTCCAATGTCTCTCGATGGCCCAGAGAGAACCCATCCAAATTTGCTGTTGACAGCCACTGGACCACCTTCTCCTCTTACAACTTCCCCAATTACAATGTCGTAGTAATAATCAGATCCTATCAAGATGTCGATTTCATCGTGACTGTTCTCGGCGAGAGAGGAATCAGCAAGATCCAATCCCATCAAAAACGGATATTTATCGAGCTCAATCTTGGTAGGAAGAGGTGAACAGATTTTCTCAAAACAAAGAGCTGAAATTTCGATATCTTTGCCTTCTTTGCCTTTCAGGTTTAAACTAACAACATCACATTTCTGTTTTGTGAATTTATCCTGCCCAAATGTGTTCAAGTTAAGCGTTTCTTTCTTTACTGGTTGAAGGCCAAGTCGTTTCTTCAGATGATTGGTTGCGTATGATCTTTGACTACCACTGTCTAAAAGCACTCGAACAGGAATAGCTCTGTTGCTATGTTGAGAATAAGCATGTGTCGTGGCAGTTTGCAAAAGCACCTTTGATGAGCCGTTCGATGTTGTAGTTGTTGTGAGGTTCTGCGTTTCCTTTTTCTCCTCTTTCGCTTCTGGTTTTGTTGTTTCTTCAGGATTGATCTTTCGAAATGTTTTGGTAGCTTTAGTACAAATAGATTGATGGTGTTTGCCATTGCACCAACGACAGAGCCTGCCATTTTCACATTCATGTGCACAATGACCACCTTGCAAACATAAATAGCAACGTTTCTGATCTCTTAAAATGCCCTTTCGATCATTCACATCTTTCACATGTTCGCACGATGCTGAGTAATGATATTGTCCACAATAGACACATTTTATCTTTCGCTCATTTTTCCCATCTTTAACGAATAGACTTGCCGCAGACGAACTGTAATTCCGCTGTCGATTTTGTTTCCATACTTCATTTTGCTTGCGAATGTCATTAAAACTAGAATTGTTTGTACGAACACTCTCACTGATCTCCCGTGCTTCCACTTCCTTTCGAATAATGTCTAGAATATCGTCAATTTTCCAAAGTTCACTGGCAGTCTTTCTTGCAACATGGATTCGTAACTCGGGTGGTAGTTTTGCCATGATTACTGGAATGAGTAGACTACCATATTGTTCCGATTTTACTCCAAGTGCCTCAAGCCCTCTTACGTTAACATTAATTTTATCATACACTCTTCGAAGATCGCGTACCCTTCCAGTCGAACAATCGGGAAGTTTTAACATCTCATCCATATGGGCGGATATGATAACTTGAGTATTGCCATAACGTTGTTTAAGAATGTCGATTGCAACCTTGTAGTTTTCTTCCGTCAAAGCCAATCCCTTAATAACCAGTAATGCCGAACCCTCCAACAAGGAATATTAGTAATTAAATTTGTCAATGCTTGACAAACTTGTATTCTTGTGGACAGCATTTTCAAAACTATCCCAAAATGGTTGAAATTCAGTAATATCTCCTCTGAACCGGGGTAAAGTTAACTTTGGAAGCTTCGTTTTTGCACCATAACCTATGACGTAATTTCCACTTGATTGACTGGTTGTTGGACTACTAGGGTCTGGGTGAATTAAGGTTGGGTTACTTGGTGTAGGATCTTGGGTTGAATTAACATTGTCCTGTTCGTTTATTGTTTCATTATTGACATTAACTTCAGAGGAAATTTCAGCTACCTCTGTTATTTCTACTTGCGGGGTATTTTGACCAGGTATAGATATATCGTGAATAGGTACTTTTCCCGTACCGTCGATTTTCTTCGCAAAAAAACTTGGATATTTGTTTTTTAACATCAAGAACTCGTAAATTTAATTCCTCGGATACTTCAATCTCGTTTTCTATTTCTTTAACTTCGCATAACTGTAAGATTTCTTCGTCGAATTTCTTTACCACTTGTAATTTTTCCTCAAGAAGATCGTGCAACGTGTTTAAACGATCCTTCGCATTTTCGTCGATATTTTCTCCATTTGCCAATAATTCCTTCGCTTCGTTACTGTATTTCGTTATAACTGCTCTGTTCCCACGACGGGTAGCCTTTTTCCTTTCTAATTGATCGGTCATAGCGCTAAAACATAACTTTTTCGATAAACTAAAGGGCACGTTGCCCCACGTTGGGCGCCATGTTTGAAACTTTATATATTTCTAATATTATTACATGAAGTATTACGATAACAAATAAATTTAAGTGTTTGTTGCGTAATCTGTCACACATAGCTCTAACTTCCGAAAAGGAAAAGCAATAGCCTTTCTGAAGTACTTATAGTGTTGAGAAGGGTTGATTTTAGGGGGGTGATCATTGGAAGGAAAAATTTGTCTAAGTATAATATTTTACAAGAAAATGACCATGCACTGCCCCAGGTAAATTGCTAGTTATGCACAAAATACCTAATATGCCTGGCAGAAATTAAATTTCCTTATTTCCTAAAAAATTATCATGGGGTGAAAAACTATTTTCAATTTAATATAATTATTGTGGACTTCATAAGGATTGTCATTATTTTCATTAAATATAATACATTTTATTTCACTTACCCCCCACGAAAACACGATTTCAGCCATATTTTGCCGTCTTGTTTGCTTTTTATCGTCGAATCTCGCAAATATCATCCAGTTGTTGTACTTTTACATAATCATGGATGGCTGAAGAAGATTTCAAAGAAGGTTTTATCAAGTTTGGAAACAGTGCAGTGTATTTTATCTTCGATATTGTGTCCTTCGATATTTCGTGAAATATGGCGCCATTTCAATGGCGCGCCGCTTCTCTGCCCGATAAATGCCACTTCTTCGTCTTCCTATGTATTTAGATTACAGTATCCAGAAGTAATTCATTGTAGAATAGCCCCAATCGAAAAATTGAAAACATTAGTTGTATTTGAAAGGAGAAAACCTCCCAATACAACTGTCTTGTCAGAATTCAAAAGAAGTAATTTAAAAGTCACGCACAAGTTCGTGAAAACTCCTCGTGGACTACAAGACAATATTATGAAACGTTTGTTCGCCACCACAGAAACCTAACTAAATACACCATATTTATTGAATGTTTATGATAGATGATAAAAATACGCATATATTTGTTTTTATCATCAATCATAAACATTCAATAAATATAGTGTATTTAGTTAGGTTTCTGTGGTGGTGAACAAACGTTTCATGAAAATATTCACCCCCTGTCATGTAGGCTACGAGGAGTTTTCAGGGGCGCCGGAGCCACGGGGGCAGCTACCCTCGTTGCCTAAACAGTGCGGGGGCAGCACAGGGGCAGCAGGTTGCCTTTTTTACCAGAACTGCACTTCGAACGTCGTGCGTTTTTCACGTGAATTGAAATTGAAAACTGTTTTTAAACAATTTAGCTCATATTTGAATCTGAATTCAACTCAGAAACGTTACCAATCAGTTTCCACCTATGAAAAAAAGGGAAAAAGAAAGCCTTCCTAAATAACTGACAACTGTCATGTTGCTTTACACTACACTTTAGTCTTTAGTGTCATGCAACGAATAAAAATGTTCCAATCCATGCCGAAATTTGTCTAACTGTATTAGCTACAAGTAATGAAGTATCCGTTATACAGCAAAATGTTAACGAACATTGCCCCCCCCCAAAAAAAAAAAAAATTAAGGCTCAAGAGTAGGTGCCCTTTCCAAATGGCTGCCCCCGCCGCTTCATGTTGCTTCCGGCGCCCCTGGGAGTTTTCACCAAATTACTTCGTTTGAATTCTGACAAGACAGTTGTATTGGGAGGTTTTCTCATTTCAAATACAACTAATGTTTTCAATTTTTCGATTGGGACTATTCTACAATGAGTTACTTCTGGATACTGTAATCTAAATACATAGGAAGGCGAAGAAGTGGCATTTATCGGGCAGAGAAGCGGCGCGCCATTGAAATGGCGCCATATTTCACGAAATATCGAAGGACACAATATCGAAGATAAAATACACTGCACTGTTTCCAAACTTGATGAAACCTTCTTTGAAATCTTCTTCGGCCATTCATGATTATGTAAAAGTACAACAACTGGATGATATTTGCCAGATTCGACGATAAAAAGCAAACAAGACGGCAAAATATGGCTGAAATCGTGTTTTCGTGGGGGGTAAGTGAAATAAAATGTATTATATTTAATGAAAATAATGACAATCCTTGTGAAATCCACAATAATTATATTAAATTGAAAATAGTTTTTCACCCCATGATAATTTTTTTAGGAAATAAGGAAATTTAATTTCTGCCAGGCAAATTAGTTATTTTGTGCATAATTAGCAATTTACCTGGGGTAGTGCATGGTCATTTTCTTGTAAAATATTATACTTAGACAATTTTTTTCTTCCAATGACCACCCCTAAAACCAACCCTTCTGAACACTATAGGCACTTCAGAAAGGTATTGCTTTTCCTTTTCTTTTTCAGGTTTTGGTACATATGCCATGTTGACCGCCATGGTCATTTTACCCTAAAACAGTTGAGATTACCTGTCCTAAATGAAACGCATACAAACTCATATACAGGTCTAACCTGAGTATCAGGCTCTATTTTACAAATAGAGCCTGATACAAAACTTAACCTGATCGCTTTCCACCCACAGCAAAGTTTATATTTAGTATCCAATCAAAATGTCGCAGGAGAAATTTAAATTTCACACAACGACAAAAACAATCTAATTTATTGCATAGGCAACCCACTAAACCAGAGGAGGTTGGACAGCAGGCCGCAAAGCATCATGGGTATTGAGCGCCTAATTCGACGCGTGGCTTCATTGACTGTTGACTGTCGAGGAGTGAAGAGCTCTCTGACTAAACAAATATGGAAGCTTTCGAACGACAAGAGTGTCAGATACTCTGTGAAAACAGCATATTGCTGTATTGTTGCGATCCTCATTATGACTTGTGTTTTACTATAGCAAGTTTACCTTTTTTTTAAATTGCATGGGACGTGTTGTCATTTTAGTTTAGTTTATAAATAATCCGTCTGAGCGAAGGAATTGTGTTTATATAAATATTCCCAATAGCAAGGCTCTTCTTTCTAATTAAAGTTGGATGGCGTTATTAAATCTCCGTGTATCATCAACGTAAAAACAAGCGCAGTATTTAATAAGGTTGGTATACTACAATGCATTACAGTTATCTTGTTATTTAGTCAAATTTCAGCTTTGTTGTTTTTATTCTTGCACTGTACTGTACTGTAATTTCATAAATACACTGTACAAAATTATAGCGTAATATTTGTGTTTATTGCCTATAGTTTGACCCTATTGTGTGTGTCTATGTACTGTGTCACTGTGATACATAATTATGTACATGTTTTGAGTTAAACAAATTGTTTAATAAATTTTTGCTGAAGTATGATGCCTGTTTGTATCTAGTTGTGGATAGATTTTTACATATATGTGCATACAGTAGTTATATATTTTTCAATTTTCATCTGTAAATAATATTGCCATACTTGTGTGTTGTTCTAATATTACTGTGAATAGTGACATACTTTTGCATTAGATTGCTAATTTTAGAGATTACAGTGTATGTATAAAATAATAAAATAAAATTTTTCTTGTTATGATTTTGTAGAAAGAGATCTATTTGAGTGGTTGGCTGGTCTTGAACCTGGTCAGATAATGAAGGTGATGGGGTAGAAAGTTGTAATGAAGGTGATAGGGCAGAAAGTGGTGACCAGTTAAGTGATGAGGATGAAAGTGACGAGGACAAAATCAACCATGCTGTACCATTCAAGATTTCAAGTGCATCGGTGCTGCTCATGAGAAAAACTACCAACATCATTTTGGAACAGGCATACCTTGCTCTTCATTGGCCAGAGCAATTGAATCCAACAGACTCAAGTGCAATTGATCTAGACCATGGAACCGGATGGACACATGTTGGTTATATTGCTTCTGAACTATGCGAGCATTTACACCCATTAATTGCAGCAGGAGATATCTTAGAGGTCTATGTTCAGCATATTAAGTATAGGGTTGAGTTTTTTAAAATAGGATTTTATCCAGACTCGAGTGGCCGGTAAGGAAGAGCATGAGTGTACGTTGACAGATGTTTGTGATATAATAGCAACTGACTAGGTTTAGCAAGTTATAGAAATGCTGTTATTTCAATTGGCTAACTTTTTAGATTTTTTTCAGCATTTTTAAATTAAACAAAAACTAGGTTAATCACAAGTGGGTGCAATTAAAACAATGTCTGTCATGCACACTCATGCAATTAAGTACATAATTGTAACATGTGCTGTACTAAATGAACAAATAAATAGTTTGTACATTCACTTTACCAACTTTGTGAGTAAATTTTCATTAAAATTAATGCAACAATAAAACAAAAATATGTCTATTTATATACAATAATATTGATCAATGGTCCCACAATAACATGCTGCTGATACTTTAATTAAGGTACATTATATGAGAATACAAAAATAACCTGCATATAATGCACCTATCAATGTTAACTCCCAAAGGGGGGGGGGGGCATATGTGGGGTATTTGATCATTAATTGCATATCCACCCCAGGGATTTTGATTAGTCATAGTTAACTATGGATTAGCATTTGGGCCCAAGTTAGGGCAATTTGAATCAAAATTACTTTTATTAATATAGTATTTATTGCAATTTATTGCAAAATGGTAGGGTATTTGACCAATATTTATTGCCCAACAGTGGGGCATTTGACCCCCCTCTCTGGGGCTTAACATTGATAGGTGCATAAGAACCACCATTTCTCAAACTTTATCTGAATTAGTTGTGTAACAGCATTTATACAAAATACTGTTAAAAAAGGCCAAGTGGGCCTTCACTGCTATAAAGGGCATTCTATCCAATGGCATTATAGGACCAATATTTCCATGGCGTTGTTCTCCAAAGCATCGAGCAGCGTTATAAATCAGATTGTCTTTTTTACCAGCATGAAGTACAGACATAGCCTTTGCAACAATTGGGATGAGGGACAAATTTAGCATCTAAACCAAGAGCATCTAAACCAGCATCTTTACCAGCCATTTTTGAAACGGGTGGATGAGTAGCTGTTCTTGTTGTCACTGCATGGGTCAGTTTTGAAAATCCAGAAGTTATGTCAAGTCATCATATCATATCAGTAACATTACCAGAGAAGTGAACAAGTTTAGAACTCCAAATTTAATGATGATGCATAATTCTTGCAGACGAAATCATTGACAAAAATAGAATCCTCTAGCCAAAATCACAAATCTATAAAAACATCAGCCAAACAATGAACTTCACCAATAAAATCTTGTTACAGAAGTGCTTTAATTTTTTACATACTTTAACCAATATATATAAATCCATAATATATCGAAACTTCTATAGTATATCAAATTTCTTTAGAAAAAAGCTAATAATAGCAGTTCATTATCGATCTGAGTGACAAGGCAGCATATTTTACAAAGGGCTATATTCAACGGTGAATATCTCGAAAACGGTTGAGAGGCCGAGGGGGGCCGGCTGGATAGAATTAAAGATTATACTTTTATTTAACTAATCGTGAAAAAAATAGCGAAATCGAACCATGGAGATTTGAGAATTTTGTCTTCAAAGATTGTTGACAGAAACGCCATTAAATTACATCGCGACGTCGTAGCGCCTAAGTGAGAGGTCAAAATAAACTGGAAAATGACGCTTACCTTTTAAGATACCGTTCCAATGGGTAGATTGACTGTTGTAGAAGTAGTATCGCGTGAAATTTCCCGAAAAAATTGCATAACAATATGAAAAAAATCGATATTTATGAGCCCTATATAAATTTTCGATGCCAAAAGCTTCGTGCGAGCATGAGGAAAATGGCGCAATCTGATTGGTCGAGATGTTCGCCTAATTGGCTGTCCAACCTCCTCTGCCACTAAACGGCTGAATTTAAATTAAAACTGCAATGAACTTATAAAATTAACAAAAATAATCACAAATTAGCGAAATATATTGCAAATGTAGCTTATATTAAATCGCCACCCGATTGCTCTCTCCTCCGCAGAAGTTTCAGTGACTACAATGAGCTTTACATGGCGCTTACCGTATTTATCAACAAACTGACGTATAATTATAAAGTATATATATATATATATATATATATATATATATATATATATATATATATATATATATATATATATATATATATATATATATATATATATATATATATATATATATATATATATATATATATAATATACAAACAGGTTATAACACTGCCACGACTCCAAGTGAAATTATTTAATAAAAAAATATATATATAGCTTTAAATTTTCGGCAGCATGCCACCGCCTTCGTCAAAAAGTAAATGAATATAGTAAATTAGCCTCCTTATATACAACAATATAAGTGATTAAACTAATTAAAGCAATATAAACAAAGCCTACAGAAACCTATTGTTGGAAATAATCATGGCTGGTATTCAAACCCCCCAGATTGGTGAGCAAAGTGCCTATCCAAAAGTTTTCACACTTTCTTAAGTCCTCGTTGTTGTTATCAATTAACATAAATTTCAAATTGAAATGCTCGCTCCCGTGCACATCTATGAAGTGATTAACTACACCACATGTCTCTCCTCCGAAGAAGTTTCAGTGACTACAATGAGCTTTACATGGCGCCATTGAGGTATTTTTAAATAGAGTTGAAAAGGACTTGTTTGATACAACTAGAAGTAATTATGTGACGGACAATTTAACATCAGAAGAACGTAAGGCCTTAACCAAGTTTCGTTCCACCCCAGTGGAGGAGCGTAATTTGATCATCCGCCTTCAAGATAAGGGCAATAGTTTTGTATTTTTAGATAATGATACAGACGCATATAAAGTTAGCCAGCAAATGAGTAGAGGTTCATTCCAAATTATAGACCACGACATTACTAATGAAACGTGTTCTGAAATTTTGGAATGGACAGGGAAATGGAGGTCTCGGGGGTTGTCTGATAAATGGATTAATTTTATTACTAGTTATAGCGGTCCTGGTCCTGGTATTAATTATCCATTGATCAAAACGCATAAGCCTGGTAATCCTGCACGAGTTATTACATCTGGTTGTGGTACACCCACAGAAAATGTATCTTTATTTGTGGAAAAGTATTGCAAAACTGTATAGTGGAGACTATTCCGCGTCGGGTGCAGGATACTAGGCATATGCTTAATATCATTGATGAGCTTGATTTGGAGGGGGTAGAAGATGGTGACTTGTTGGTTAGTTTCGACATTACTAACATGTTTCCGTCTATAGATAACCAGTCGGGGGTTGAAAGGGTTAGATACAAACTTACTCAATATGCTGATAAACTTGACGTGCCGGTTGAATGTGTTGTGGAAGCCTTGGAAATTTGTCTCAAGAGAAATTGTTCCACTTTTCGTGGGCAATATAGGTTGCAGGAAAATGGTACGGCTATGGGCCCCAAAAACTCTTGCTCATATGCTGACATTGTTGCTGAAAACATAGATCAAAAAGTTTTAGCATCACGGACTATTTATCCGGAACTTAGGTGCTGGTTTCGCTTCCGTGACGATACCATTGTACTTTGGCGTGGTTCCGTTGAACGCTTTAATGCATTTTTCCAGGCTCTTAACACATTCGATTCACATCTACAATTTACCAGGGATATGGGTGGGCGGAGCCAACCTCGTACCCAGGATCTTTCTTTGGGAAAGACCCTGGCTGCGGCTGGTCACGTGCCTCATCAAAAATTTAGCGCCTGAGTGGGTGTGGGGAAAGTATAAAATTACATCAACATGCTTCCAGTGGGATATTCGTTAAAAACATAGATTTTGCGAATTATTACGTTCAAAATACTTGCTAATTTTTGTTTATTTTCTTTGCTTTGAATTTACATGAACATTGTTACATTCTTACTTACAGTCAAGTCAAGAAACCAAGCAAATCGTTACTCGCAGTGCTCTCTCGTGTTGTTATTCAATGCATGCTCTCTTCACACTCGAGCGCGGTTATAACAAACGTTTGTTGTAATGTTTTTAAAATAGGCCATTACATTTGTCCTTTCTTGTAAACGTTGATACACTTGTTACTACGCGTCTTGTTTATAAGATTTTTAAAAGAAACAGTATTGTCTAGGACTGGCCCAAATATTAGCAAATGTAAACATTTGATAATAGCCGAACAGAGAAATGTCCATAAGCATAGAGGAAATTTCAGTCATTGATTTATCTGGATTTACTACATAAATTCGTATTCGGTAATTATAGTAAGACTTTAGCCTTTTTCTTGGTCTCTATTAATCATTATATTGTGCTAATATACTATAATCTATATCACAAATTTACAGTGTCAGATGCGCACAGACCGTCATTTGGCGTCATACGAATAGACATAAATTTTCGAGTTTTCTACTTCTACTAACATTTTTAAAGTTTTCATTGTGAATCACCTGTTTATCTCTAATTCATTAATCATTTGCTACTTATATTTATTTGATAGTGTCAATGTCATATGTGAATAATGCGTTTACACACAAGCAATCCTGGATATGATATAGACGATGCAAGCTGTCCATTAAAAAATAACGGTATTCTATTTCACAAAGCAAAAATTTAAATCTCACTTGTATATATTAAGAATGCATATAAAGCCAAAAATTAAAGCTTATTCATGTCAAAACGAAAGCTGTTTACAAAATTTATAAAGGTGGTGAACACTACTAAACAGTGCTCATTGAAAGACATGTATAATATAGTGACATATAATTTGCCGTTTGACTTATCTTTGGTGTATGATTTTAATACCGTAGATTTTCAACAGACAGCTATACTTTGACATATACCATGATCGTTGGATTCAGCAATGCCAAGGGCCAATTTTATAGTCTTTTGACGGGCTTTAAGTTTTTTGATAAGGCCTTTATATAGATCAACAATCTGGCTCAATTTCCATATAAATATCCCGAAATGACGTCATTAATTACCAGTGACAAAATAAGTTCATATACTTTATGTGGTATATATATTGTTGCTTACCGGTTATTGCTGTCATAGGCGTTATTGGCGTTATAGTCGTTATTGGCGTTATAGTCGTTATTGGCGTTATAGACGTTATTGACGTTATTGGCGTTATAGTCGTTATTGGCGTTATAGACGTTATAGTCGTTATTGGCGTTATAGACGTTATTGACGTTATTGGAGTTATTGACGTTATAGTCGTTATTGACGTTATAGTCGTTATTGGCGTTATAGGCGCTATAGACGTTATTGGCGTTATAGTCGTTATTGGCGTTATAGACGTTATAGTCGTTATTGGCGTTATAGACGTTATTGACGTTATTGGAGTTATTGACGTTATAGTCGTTATTGACGTTATAGTCGTTATTGGCGTTATAGGCGCTATAGACGTTATTGGCGTTATAGTCGTTATTGGCGTTATAGACGTTATAGTCGTTATTGGCGTTATAGACGTTATTGACGTTATTGGAGTTATTGACGTTATAGTCGTTATTGACGTTATAGTCGTTATTGGCGTTATAGGCGCTATAGACGTTATTGGCGTTATAGTCGTTATTGGCGTTATAGACGTTATAGTCGTTATTGGCGTTATAGACGTTATTGACGTTATTGGAGTTATTGACGTTATAGTCGTTATTGACGTTATAGTCGTTATTGGCGTTATAGGCGCTATAGACGTTATTGGCGTTATAGTCGTTATTGGCGTTATAGACGTTATAGTCGTTATTGGCGTTATAGACGTTATTGACGTTATTGGAGTTATTGACGTTATAGTCGTTATTGACGTTATAGTCGTTATTGGCGTTATAGGCGCTATAGACGTTATTGGCGTTATAGTCGTTATTGGCGTTATAGACGTTATAGTCGTTATTGGCGTTATAGACGTTATTGACGTTATTGGAGTTATTGACGTTATAGTCGTTATTGACGTTATAGTCGTTATTGGCGTTATAGGCGCTATAGACGTTATTGGCGTTATAGTCGTTATTGGCGTTATATGCGCTATAGACGTTATTGGCGTTATAGTCGTTATTGGCGTTATATACGTTATTGACGTTATAGACGTTATTGGCGTTATATTCGTTATTGCCGTTATAGTCGTGATTGGCGTTATAGACGTTATTGGCGTTATTGGAGTTATTGGCGTTATAGTCGTTATAGACGTTATAGTCGTTATTGGCGTTATATACGTTATTGACGTTATAGACGTTATTGGCGTTATAGACGTTATAGACGTTATTGGCGTTATAGTCGTTATTGGCGTTATAGTCGTTATTGGCGTTATAGTCGTTATTGACGTTATAGTCGTTATTGGCGTTATAGACGTTATTTGAGTTATTGGCGTTATTGGAGTTATTGGCGTTATAGGCGTTATAGACGTTATAGGCGTTATAGACGTTATTGGCGTTATAGACGTTATTGGCGTTATAGACGTTATTGGCGTTATAGTCGTTATTGGCGTTATAGTCGTTATAGACGTTATTGGCGTTATTGGCGTTATAGTCGTTATTGGCGTTATATACGTTATTGACGTTATTGACGTTATTGGTGTTATAGACGTTATAGACATTATTGACGTTATTGGCGTTATAGTCGTTATTGGCGTTATAGTCGTTATTGGCGTTATAGTCGTTATTGGCGTTATAGACGTTATTGGCGTTATAGACGTTATTGGCGTTATAGACGTTATTGGCGTTATAGGTGTTATTGGCGTTATTGGCGTTATTGGCGTTATAGTCGTTTTTGGCGTTATATACGTTATTGACGTTACAGACGTTATTGGCGTTATAGTCGTTATTGGCGTTATAGACGTTATGGCGTTATCGACGTTATTGGCGTTATTGGCGTTATAGTCGTTATTGGCGTTATAGACGTGATTGGCGTTATTGGCGTTATTGGAGTTATTGGCGTTGTTGGCGTTATTGTCGTTATTGGCGTTATATACGTTATTGACGTTATAGACGTTATTGGCGTTATAGTCGTTATTGGCGTTATAGACGTTATTGGCGTTATTGGAGTTATTGGCGTTATAGTCGTTATAGACGTTATTGACGTTATTGGCGATATAGTCGTTATTGGCGTTATATACGTTATTGACGTTATAGACGTTATGGATGTTATATACGTTATTGGCGTTATAGTCGTTATTGGCGTTATAGACGTTATTGGCGTTATAGACGTTATTGGCGTTATTGAAGTTATTGGCGTTATAGTCGTTATTGGCGTTATATACGTTATTGGCGTTATAGTCGTTATTGGCGTTGTAGACGTTATAGTCGTTATTGGCGTTATAGTTGTTATTCGCGTTATAGATGTTATTGGCGTTATAGTCGTTATTAGCGTTATAGACGTTATTGGCGTTATAGTCGTTATTGGAGTTATAGTCGTTATTGGCGTTATTGACGTTATTGGCGTTATAGTCGTTATTGGCGTTATAGACGTTATTGCCGTTATAGTTGTTATTGGCGTTATAGTCGTTATTGGCGTTATAAAAAATATAAAAATAAGAAATGAATTTATCCAAAAGGTCTCTTATACAAAATTTTTGGGTGTACTAATTGATGAAAATTTAACGTGGAAAAATCATATTGATTCTATATATATGTAAAACTATTATCAAGTTTACTGGACTAATTTCAAAATTGCGACATTTTACGAGCTTGAACACTATAAAGTTGACCTATTATGCTTTAGTTTATCCATACCTTACATATGGTATTAAATTTAGCTTGGGGTAATACATACCCTTGGAAAATTGAAAAGCTTTTCAGAATTCAAAAGAAGATTATTCAATTAATGAAATTTAAATCATACACAGAACATACAAAACCGCTATTTAATGATTTGAAAATATTAAATATTTTCAAAATTAACGATTAGCTTACCAGCTTATTTATGTACCGTTGCAACAGTACTAATGATTTACCCGACATTTTTAGTGGATATACTTCATAAAAAATTCAAACATTCATGAACATTGCACGCGAAATTCAAAAAAATTGCATAAAGTTTATACAAGAACAAACTATAGAAAACAATCTGTTGTTAGTTAAGGTATTGACATTTGGAATAATTTAAGTACTGAGTTAAAAAATATTGGATCTTATATGGTTTTCAAAAAAAATGTGAAAACATACTTTATATCACACCAATCAGCCAATTAATCATCCTATTTTAATGTATAAAGTTTAAAAAATCTGAAAAATCTTGTAAATAGACAAACTTTCCTTTAAAAACCATCACAATTGTATATATTTTCGTTATTATATTATGTACTATTCTTATGACATCATGAAATTATACTAAGTAAAAAATGTTTTGTTATAACGGGTGTTTGTATTCCGAGTAATGAGTAATGAGTCATTAATGAGTAATGAGTAATGTATGAGTAATGAGTAATGAGTAATGAGTAATGAGTAATTAGTACTTAGTAATGAATTTTCGTACTTGCTTTGGAAAGATAAATTAAACTAATTAAACTAGCAGGAGATGCCATTCACGACTCC